TTGATTGGTTAATTATCACGGGAAATCACGGGTAGATCTACAAAAATTAACCAATCAAACGAAAGTCTTCCTATGAGATTCCGGTTGGTTGATTTACACAAAAATGTCACGTGGATCCATGGCTTTAGACGACCCCCAAATAAGGAAATTGAAAAATGGAAGGTTCATTCGATAAACTATTGAATCAATAAATAAATGATGATTTACAAATAAATAAGAACCGGGTATTCTGGTTTAAATGTTCCGAATATCTAAATCTAATTAAAGTTAAGATGATTTAGATTGTTTTCAACATTTCACATTACGCCTGATCTTGTTTTCAACATTTCACAATACGCCTGATCTTGTCCTCGTGATAGTGTTCGAAAAATATTTAAGAATTAAAAATTCAGAACTTGATTTCTCTTTTAAGAATTTCAGATTTCGTGACTGACGTTGATAGGTAGGTAATAGAAACAGTGAGGTGTTACACGATTATAAGAGGAAAAAAAATAATGCGCGGAGGCAAAATCAAATATATAAATTCATATACATATTTTTTCCAAATCAGTATAGCATATGATTTAAAAAGTATCTCTTGCGCCACGTTATAAATCAAATTGATCTTATTGAAGAGGGTCACTTATACTATAAGAGATATTAAAAAAATATATATATGATATACTATACATAATTTTATTAATAAGCTCGATACATCATTTGATAAACAAAAAAAAAAAGTTATATCTCACGTCTCGTTCCTTCATCACTAGATATAGTTTAAATGTTTGTCTAGATCATTTGGTACATATTTCCTTCCTTTATATAATTTCATAAAATGATTATTTGATTGTTAAAAAGGTAAAAAAGGTTAAGTAATTTAATTGAAAAGGTTAGTCTAGCGTCCAATCTTAAGCGTTAGGGTTTGTTATCGGAAATCCTTTTAAAGATCCGACAAACTATTAAACATGGAAAATCATAGAATATGAATGAATTTAATTGGCAACACATATAGCGACATTGACATTATTGAATAATATACGTACACAAATCTTTCTGATTGTCCGCAGCTGTGTACAAAAATTGTCTTTTTTAAGATAAAGTCTGATGACTTGCATAGAGATGGCCTCTGTGCTCTTGACTATGTCTCATTTGCGTTATATTTAAAATTATAAGTAACTTCATTCTCTAAGTACGTATTAGAAATTAAATATAAATAACTTTCTATGATTTTTCTTGTTAAAAATCGTCGATTTTTCAACGTTAGCTTTTCTGATCGAATCCTTATAGCTAACCATTCTGTTCTGTTCTCTTCCTTTTCCTTCTTTTATTTTATTTTATTTTTTTAACGTGTATTTAATAATATGCATTTAACAGCAAATCTAAAAAAAAAAAAAGTAATTAAACAAAGTGATATATCAAGTGATATAAAATTATTGGTCATATAAAGTGCACCATGTTACCAAAGTCGAAAAATGATGAAAATTTTTCTAACGATGAAAATTTTCCTAATGATATTGAAAAGCTTGAGAGCAATAACTCGAATTGTTCTCGGACGGCGCGTTCTGTTGATCCGCCGTCCGGCAATGACTATCATGAACAAGGGGAAAATCTAACTTGTTCGAGTGTCTTACATTCAGATAACAAGGTTCATACAATTGCCAATAATCAAAATAATCCTGTCGCAAATAAAGAATCGAAGTCAGCATCGATAGCTCGTAATGCACGTCCACAATCCAGAATTATTGTCAGACCCCCTTACCCACCGACCATTAAACCTAGAGACTTGGTTGATGACCTACTTAAAATCAAGTCACGGACACCAAAAATGTTGAATGAATTTTTTATCTACCGTAAAGCTCTTGTTCAAGAGCTTAAAAAAAAAAAACTTCGAGTTAAAATGACACTAGTGTCGTCTCAAGCGTCTGCTTATTGGCATCAAGAAACACAGCAAGTTAAAGAAGGTATCATTTATTTATTCTATATTCAAAGTATATACTAATGCTTAGGATAAATTTGCCACTTTAATTAAACTTTTTATCTAATGAAATTATTATTTCTAACAAGAATTCTTTAAAGGTTATGTTTAATGTGATAAGTGGACAAATTTATCAAAACGCACTAAATATATATATATATATATTTCTATCTCTTACTCATTTAATATCTGTTGTAATCACATTCGTAAAAAGCATATAGAAAACTTGCGCGCGAAACAGAAAGATTGTATCTGCAGGAAAGAAAAGAAAGAAGACAACCGCAACAATATCCTTCTACAAATCTTGAAAACGCATCTAATATTTCAATATCTTCCTCGCTTTCCTCAGAAGCTGTGATTTCTGTTTCTGCATCCCATTTTAAGGACATCGAACCCATTTTGGAAATCAATTCATCTGATACTCCATCCGATACTATGTTTAACAATTCACCTGCGTCGATCACGCCTGTCCATTCATGTATTTCAAACAATGGTACATATATAGTGTATATTTTTTCTTCAAATTAACGTAACATTTACGAGAAGCTCATAAGCAATTCAATTTGAAGGTATCCCAGATTACATTCAAACACTTCCAGCACAGAACACATACGATCCAAATCAAAACACATTATGTCCTAACGCTAATGCATTAAATCCTTCATTTAATCAAGTCAACTTCGGTTTTTGGAGAAATTACGAGATTGTAACACAATCCGGTCAATATAGATATACAGATAGTGATAATATATTTACACCAATTGTACCTTCTCAAAGGGATCAGCCTGATCCGGCAACAGAAAATGAACGTGCCACATAAGAAATTCAAAAATAAGATTCTTGTTATTTAATTATATACCTTTTTGCCTACCATATAATCAATAAGATTTTAAATAGATTGCTTTGTTTCTTTTTAAAAATATATGCTTGCGCATGTCATAGACGACAAAGTTTTTTTCACCTAAATAAACGATAGCATATAACACGAAACATAATATTTGTGTAATGCGATACGTCATATAAGAGAATTGTAAGTACGTACATGTACGTATACTTTTTATATTATATGTATTATAGTATCACTTGTGATATTTTTATTATTAAGAGTTTAAGATATTACAAATAAAACCTTATTATATAATGATAACGCCTCAGTACTGTATGTTTTGAAATTTTGAATGATCGATTGGTTTTTCATGTATTAATTATTTTCACATCTATTAATATAATTTCTTATTCATATCTCTTAAATTTTAGGTAGAACTTTGAAACAAAATTTTCTACTTCAGTATTATAATTTATTATAATTTTGTTTTTTATTTACTTTTTAAGCATTAACATATTTAAATAAAAAAATTTTTTTAATGATGTATATTTTAAAAAATAAGTTATTATATCATGCGGCACATTTTAACCCGATAGAACAAATTTATCAGCGCATGATTATGCTTTACAAGCATGATTGGCTAACTGTTTTAATTCGGATTTTGTACGTACGTACGTACGTACAAGAAAAAATTATAAGTGTTTGTGTAATAATATTGTGATATTTTTTTTAAAATTATTAAAAAAAAAATTATTTGGGTGGTACCAAGGGATCGATCAGGTTTTCTCTTAGCGATACTTATTAAAATCAAGAGAATTCTTATTTATCATTAGTGCGATATATCATTGGTTTGTAATTAGCAATTAAGATTGGTAATTAAGTTTTTTATTTTTTATTGATTTTTTTTATACTGTATTTTTTAAACATTTATAATATTTTAAATTGGTTTGTATTATTTTTTTGCTTTTGTTTGATTTTTTTTTTGTTACAATTCTATTCCTTAAACTATATATTTTAGCATACAAATTTGTATGCTAAAATTTTAAAAGAAAATTAAGTTATAAAAAAATTTTTTTTAACAAAACCTCTATTTTAATTGGTTATAGTAATTTTAGAAACTTAAGTTATATAGCACACTTCACAGTTGTGACTTTATATAGTTTAAACAAAAAGCAAAACTTTTTCAAATAATCATGAAGTATGCTTTGCAATTTGAACTTTGAGTTGTTATATCTTTATAGTATTGTATCAAAAATTAATAATATAAAGTTGATTATAAAGAATTTTTGATTAACTTTAATATCAGTTAATTGATTTGTTATATCTAAATTTATATATAAAATTATAGCAAAAACATATAGAATTATTTATAAACTTTGAAGCTGTAATATTTCTTTTCTTATATATTAATGAGATTTGCTATTTATCATTTGCAGTGATGATTATTGCAATGTGATTAATCAATTAAATTGCAAGATTAAGTGTAATATAAAGAATTGAAAAAAATAACCAAAAAACATAAAAACATCTATAGCTTAATGATTTATTTATAAACCAATTTTTTATATTCTAACAAAAAAATTTTTTACAAGACTATACTCTACTCTCACTTTAAATCTAACCTAATCTGAACCCTAGCTATAAAGCATTATTATGTATTTTAGTTATTGTCACAGCTAAAGCTTGAAATGGCTGATGCTTGAAATTTTAAATATTTTAATATAAAATTTTTAAAAAAATTTTGGTATGCATTTTTTTAGCTTTTTTTTTATAGTTGGCTTAGAATTTAGGGTTAGTTTTAATAATTAAAATGTACTAATAGATTTTGGTAGAATTTATATTTTTAAATCGAGGTCTCTAATTTCAAGCATTAGCTGCAACAGTTATTTATATATTATGCCAATAATCACTGCAGATGATATAAAGTAATTTGTTATATTAATTTAAATTAAAGTTTATAAATAAATATATCAAAAAAGAAAAATAAAATGTTTTTTAAATTAGAATCATACAAAATTAATTAATTGATTTTTATAACCTAACTGAGTCGAAATTTGAAAACTTGTAAAAAAAATTTTTTATATATTTTAATAATTAGATGGATTTTTAAAAAATTTATCAAAATTTTATAAAATTTTTATATATGAAATTTAAAAAAAAAAGCTGGTTGGCCAGGTTTGTTTAAAAATTTTATATCATAAAAATTAATAAATTAAATTTGTGTAGCCTAAATTAAAAAAATTTTACAATTTTGATACAATTTGAAAATATAATTATATTAAAAAAAATTTAATAGTTTTAAAACAATAAGAGCAATAACATTTATTATATATAGTAGGAATTATATTATAAGTATTCTACCTTTTTAACTTTTTAAATAAAAAACTATAACTTTAAAATTTTTTAAACCTGATATCCCACAGTTATTTCTAAGAATACTTATAAGCAATTAACCACAATGAGAAGATGAATCTACAAGAGATACATTTAATTCAGAAGCTTTATCAAACTATTACTCTACAATAAAATATTATCAATTTGATACCATTTTTTTATAGAAAAATTAAAAAACAAAAAAATACTAATACAAATACTAACAAATATTCTATAGAATAGGTGGGCAAACTCTACCAACTCTGCAACTCTGATAGTAAAAAATTAATGATTACTAATTATTAGCGAAGCTTATTTCATATATTGCCCATCTATTCTATTGAACATCCTTTTT